AATTTTTAAATAAAATACTGGGAAACAGATTACAGCAATATATTACAAGGATTATACGCTATGACTGGGTGGGATTTATACCAGGAATGTAGGACTGGTTCAATATTAGGAAAGCTATCAGCATAATTGACCATATCAATAACAAAACCAACAGAAATCATATGATTATCTTAATAGATGCAGCAAAAGCTTTTGACAAAATACAGCACCCATTTCTATATAAAAAACCACTAGAGAGCATAGGAATAAATGGAGCTTATCTTAAAATGATAAGTAATATTTATCTAAAACCATCAGCACGCATTATCTATAATGGGCATAAGCTAGAAGCTTTCCCAATACAATCAGGGGTGAAACAAGGATGCCCATTATCACCTCTATCATTTAATATTGTACTAGAAATGTTAGCTATAGCAATAAGAGAAGAAAAAGAAATTAAAGGAATTACAATAGACAACAAGGAAACGAAACTATTATTCTCTGCAGATGATATGATGTTATACTTAGAAAATCCTAGAGAATCAACTAAAAAAACTACTTCAAATTATTAACAACTTTAGCAAAGTTGCAAGATACATATAAATCATCAAAGTCCAGCAGAAAGAGATAGAATGAAAAATTCCATTTAAAATGACTGTGGACAATATAGAATACTTGGAAGTCTACATGCCAAGGCAAACCCAGGAACTATATGAACACAACTGTAAAACACTTTCTAAACAAAGTCAGATCTAAACAATCAGAAAAATATTAATTGCTCATGGGTAGGCTGAGCCAATGTAATAAAAATGACAGTTCTACCTAAATTAATCTATTTATTCAGTGCCATACCAAACTATCAAAAATTATTTTATAGAGCTAGAAAAAATAATAACAAAATTCATCTGGAAGAACAAAAGCTCAAGTATATCAAGAAAATCAATGAAAAAATATGAAAGAAGGTGGTCTAGCCATACCAGATCTCAAATTGTATTTATAAAAAGGTAATCATTTAAAAATCTGGTTCTGGCTAAGAAGTAGAGTGGTGGTTCAGTGGAATAGATAAGGTACAAATTGCATTATAGTAAGTGACTATAGTAATCTAGTGTATGAAAAACACGAGGATCCAAGATTTTGGAACAAAAACTCATTATTTGACAAAAATTGCTGGAAAAACTGGAAAAGAGTATGGCAGAGATTAGGTATAGACCAACATCTTACAATGTATACTAAGATAAGTTCAAAATGGGTGCATGATTATATATTATTATAAATATTATATTATTATTATAAATGGTAATCCCACAAACAAATTAGGAAAGCATGGAATAGTTTATTTTTCAGATTTGTGGATAAGGGAAGAATTTAGACCAAAGAGGATATAGAGACCATTACAAAATGTAAATTAGATAATTTTGATTATATAAAATTAAAAAGTTTTTTTTTCACAAACAAAACCAATGCAACCAAAATTTCCTTATAAGAAAGCAGAATACTGGGAATTTTCTTTTGCAAAAAATATCTCTGATAAAGGCTTCATTTCTCAAATGCATAGAGAACTGAGTCAAATTTATAAAAATACAAGTCATTCCACAATTGATAAATGGTCAAAGGATATGAACAGGCAATTTTCAGATGAAGAAATCAAAACTATTTGTAGTCATATGAAAAAATGCTCTAAATCACTATTGATAAGATAAATGCAAGTTATAACAACTCTGAGGTACCACCTCACACCTATCAGAGTAGTTAATATAACAAAAAAAGGAAAATGTTGGATGGTGAAGGGGATGTGGGAGAACTGGGACACTAATGCACTATTCATGGAATTGTGAACTGATTCAACCATTCTGGAGAGCAATTTGGAACTATGCCCAATGGGCTATAAAATCGTGCACATCCCAGAGAGATCATAAAAAGGGGAAAGGACCCACAAGTACAAAGATACTTTTATAATAGCTCTTTTTGTGGTGACTAAGAATTGGAAAGTAAAGGGATGGCCATCAATTGGGGAGTGGCTAAACAAGGTGTGGTATATGATTATAATGGAATATCATATTGCTATAAGAAATTATAAGGAGGATCATTTCAGAGAAAACCTGGAAAGGTTTACATGAACTGATGCACAGTGAAGTGAACAGAACCAGGAGAACATTGTACACAGTAACAGCAATATCATTCAGTGAAGAAATGTGAATGATGTAGCTATTCTCAGAAATACAATGCCAAAGGACTGATGATGAAGCATACTATCCATCTCCAGAGAAACAACTGATATTGATTGAATACAGACTGAAGCATGCTATTTTTCACTTTGTTTCTTTCATTTTTTTCTTTTATTCAACTCTTCTTGTACAAAATGACTAATATGGAAATATTTTACGTAATTGCACATGTATAATTTATATATAATTGTTTATCATCTCAGGAAGTGGGGAAGGGAGAGAGGAAAAGAGGGAGAGAATTTGGAATTCAAAACTGTAAATAAAAATATTTTTAAAATTGGGGGAAAATGTCTACCAAGTGCTATACTAAGTTCTAAGGATAGAAACAGAAAAAAAGAAGTTAGTTCCATAGATCTCAAGGATCTCACATTCTAAGTGAGGAAAATACACAATAAATAGGATTCTTCAAAGGAGGATCTCCAAGATGACAAGAACGTTCAAAACTCCGTCATATGCATTGAACAGGAATCTTTAACCTGGAGAAAGGAAGGAATCGATGTGTGTTTTGGTTCAAAAATTCATGATAGCTGTCTTAAGTATTTGAAAGGCCATCAGATGGAAAAGGGACTAGCCTTGTTCTATCATTCTGGAGGACTTAGATTTTTGAAAGAGGATCAGTGGGTTGAAGACAGCTTTCAACTCAATATAAAGAAGAACATGGTACATCTTTGATTTTTCATAAAATGCCCTCCAAGTAGTGAGCTCCTAAAGTATTCAAGCAGAGATTGAATGACCATTGTATGGCATGTGGTAGAGGGTATTTCTGTGTTGACTGGCAGGTTTCACTGGATTCTCTCTGAAATCCTTCATTCTTCTCTTGAAGAGTCTGGTACTCGATGAACCTCATATCCCTAGGGTCCCTGACCCAGTTCCCAGCACAATAGCCCCATGATGTTTCTTCCCTGTTGTTGGTCTGAGGGGGTAGGCTGCCTCTGCTCCCACTGAAGGAGCACCCCGGTCTTCATCTGGAAGAAAGGAGGCTTGAAGAAAGAAAAGAGAAGCAGGGGGTATTATGGAAAAGGAGGCTCATAAGCTCTCAAAGCTTCAACTTTCTCACCTGTAAAATGTAGATGGTAATATGGGGACAACAGTGCTCAGGGTTTTGATAGTATGTTATAACACAAAGAGTCCTGGTTTTAGAGCAACTGGGTATAAATCCTGGCTTTGCTAATCAATACTTGTGTAACCTTGGGCAAATCATTTTAATTTTAATTTTTAATTTTTAATTAATTTTAAATTCAATTTTAATTTTTATTTAATCACCTCAATTTCCTCCTCTATGAAGCAAAGATTATATGATTTGCACACTTCCTTTGGTCTGCTATAAGCAGAATTCTTTGCAAATTCTAAAAAATTGTGTAGTATAAATGTAAAGTATTATTAACATACAAAGATAAGAACATAGAAATTGCTTTCCTGGGTCAGTCTAAGCATCCCCTCACTCTGATTATGTCTGTGAGAGGGTTACCAAGGGACAAGGAGCATGGGCTTCCCCCCCACTCCAGGATTTCCACCTCAGATGGTTCGTCATTTACTTCAGAAACCCCAGGTTCCCTACATCATCTCATTCCTGAGCTTCATGGCAATGCCTGATAGAAAGAAATAGGAGCTCTAGGCCTGCCTCCTTCTAATTCCTCCCGTTCCCCATTACATCTTTGTAGTTTGAGAGGTGGAACATTGCTGGAACTTCTAGGTGACTCCTGGCATTAAATCTTAGGGTCCACACTATTTTCCTCATTCCCAATTCCCCTATGTGCCCACCAACATCACTTATGGCTACAGCCACATCACACAGACAATGCCTTCTGCATAGCCCCGGGGGAGGTGTAGTGCCCTCTGAAGGTGTCCCGTGCTCACCATGTCACTCTTGTTCTGCCTCAACAGCAAGTTTTCCTGGTCCATAGCATCAATACTTTTCTAGACCTGTTTTCTTATCTTCATTTCCTTCCTTAAGGTTAAAAGGTTGATAGAGAATCGAGATAGGAAGGAACTCTTCAGGAAAAATGAATCTTATGCCCCTATTGACTCTGTGTGTGTGTGTGTGTGTGTGTGTGTGTGTGTGTGTGTGTGTGTGTAGCATTTGCCCTTTCCTATGGTGTGATGGAGGAACAGTGATCCCTAAGTCTAATAGATGCCAATCTATGATACAAAATAGAGAATAGACTTGTTCTCTGTGGCTACAGATGGCAGAAGGAGGACCAGAGGACTCAGATGTAATGAGGAACACATTCCAAATGTACTTCCTATCAAGAAGAACTGTTCAAAAATTGGAAAATGGGAGTTTATGGAGATTATATGAATTGCTACCTACACTCAGTTCTGCTACACACAAAAACTGTACCATTTTACAATTACACATTCAAAATACAAATTTCTCCATTTCTAGGTGTGTGTGTGTGTGTGTGTGTGTGTGTGTGTGTCAGTGGTTATATGAGGCTTCGAAACTAGGCACTGTGCTAAGCAATGAAGACACAAATATGGAAAAAGAGAGTCCCTGCACTCAAGAAGCTTACAATCGAATGGGGATAAACAACACCCAAAAAAAAACCAGAAAAGGGATGGGGTTGGACATCCCCACCAGAGGGGTAGAATTTGGAGGAGAAGATGGTTTAGAAGTCAGAGACATCCCACAGCAGAGCAGCCAGGTGAGAAATGGTTGAACTCAGCTCCCTCATTTAATGGAGGCTTTGAGGTTCATGGCTCCACTCTCCATTCATTTACTGGATTACTTTATACCAGAGACCTGCACACACACACACACACATACACACACACACACACACACACACAAACAGATAAATGGTATGTAACTTTTATTTTCTTTATGAAATTTTTAGTTTTTCAGCTTAATGTTGTTTATTACACATTGAAAGCTCTTACAGGGAAGAACCTGGGTCTACGTATTTCTCTTTTCTAGAAATCCAATGACAGGTCACTCTTAAGTAGAGTAGTAATGGTGATGGCAATGAAGATCTTCACAGCTTTTCATTCTCTTCTTGGTTGGGCTTAAGATGGAGCTCCATTCCTGAGTCCCCCTCAATCTTGGCAACCTGTTGAAACATACTATTTACCAAGTGATTCATTTACTCCTATTATTCTTCTGTTCTTTCTCTTCCTGTCCCCTTTCTTCTGAGAAGTTGACAATGACTTTTCACAGTTCTCCTAGCCAGTCATAGCTTCTTAACTTCAGCTACAATATCCCACCCACCACCAACTTCCTCCACATTCTTTCTTTCTCAAGATTCTTCCATCTCATTTAGCATTTCTCTTTTCTTATTTCATCTCATCAGGATTTCTATGGTAGCCTGTCAGATTGATTGTTTTCAACAAGTTGTTGTCCAATCATTTTAATTGTGTTTGACTCTTTGTGATAACATTTGGGGCTTTTGTGACAAAGAAAACCAGCTCATTTTTTTCCAGATGAGAGAACTGAGGTAAACAAGGTTAAGTGACTTGCTCAGGATCACAGAGCTACTAAGTGTCTGAGGACACATTTGAACTCAGGAAGTGCTGACTCCAGACCCAGCACTCTATCCCCTGTGCTACCTAGCAGCCCTAAGTAAGTGTGTGGGACTTGATTCTCAAGTCTTTCTGACTCTAGACCCAGAATTCTTTTGAGTTGACCACTTCTAGGCAAAGAGATAGGAGTAACTTTGTTTTGGGTAGTTGGTCATTGAAGAAACTTGATTGCCCAGAGAGGAGTATATGGATTCCCATCAGAAGCTAGTTAAGAAGTACTCAGGTGCGGCAGATAGGTGGCGCAGTTGATAGAGCACCGGTCCTGGATTCAGGAGGACCTGAGTTCAAATCTAGCCTCAGACACATAACACTTACTAGCTGTGTGACCTTGGGCAAGTCGCTTAACCCCATTGGCTAACCAAAAAAAAAAGGAAAAGAAAAGAAAAAAAGAAAAAAGAAGTGCTCAGGAGTATGGTTAAACAATTCCTATTGATAATCTGAGATTTGATGAATGGAGAGAGTTAGGGAGGATTGAGTCTTATTATGGAAGGCTTGTTTTCTGTTTCCTACACCATCCTGCCTGAGTACCCCCCATCTTTCCCTGTATCTTTCACAATGCCCAGTAGAGAAGGACCTCACTTTAGTGGCTGGGGCTTTAATTTCAATTCCAACAGAACTAAAGAGGTTTATGAATTCATATTTTCAAGTATCACTGTCCCCTGGTTAGTGGAAATGGGGGGTGGAGGAAATATTTTGAGGTCAATGAAGGCTTTAAAATGTCTTCAGACCCTCTAATGGTAGTGTTTCCAAGTGTCCTCAATCCCTAAATTGACCCAGCCATAGTAAATATGACAACAAGGTATAGACAGATTACCTCGTTTATCCTAATTAGCCTTCTTATAATCCTGGTATTGTTTGAGACGCTCAATACATGTCTTTTCCAGATATTCCTTGGCCCGATATACAGCACCATCTGCCTCCCATTTCGCTTTGATCATTTCAGCTGCCGGTTGCTTTGGAATCCAGGCTGGTATTCCTTTGTCAAACTCAATGAATGGTCGTTCATCATACTCACAACGCCAGAATCCGTTGGTGGCACCATTCTTGCAAAGTTCACAGCCATAAGTTCCAGTCAAGACATGTGAACCTGAAACACCCAAGCCCCAAGTATGGTGAACTCCCTAGAGTATAGAAAAATGTGTTTCCAAATAATGATAGTGCTGAGATATATCCATACACCCTTGCAAATGAAAAGAGTGTTTCCTTAAAACAAGCATCCAGTTCTTTTCCTTTAGGCAGCTAAGGCATGAACAACCAGATAAGCAAGTTTAAAAAGAGAACAGATCTTTTTAGGCTAATTCCTTGAATCATTATAAATCTTATTCCATCCATGTACCTGCTGTAGGAGTAGAATGAAAAGAAGAGCTGAGCAGAAGAATTGTTGGAGTCAGAGCTGGAAATGACCTTACCATTATCTATCCCACTCTGCTCCTATACAAATGAGAAAACTGATGCCCAGAGGAGGGCAGTGATTTTCCTGAGCTTTTTAGGATAGCAAATAAAAGAGTCAACATTCTACCCTAGGTTCTCAGACTCAAATCCAGAACTCTCTCCATTCCAGTAAGTTGTTACAACCTGTGACTAACCATCCTAACAGCTAACCTGTCCTGGTATGTGGTTGCCTACTATAGACAATGGGGAATAACAGTCAATGTGGTTAAATGGAAAGAGAGCTAGACTGGGTGATTGGACATCATGAGGCCAGGCCTGGCTTTGCCACTGACTGATCTGTATCAGATCAGTGGATCAATGATTTATAGATAGATGGACTATCAGAAGCCATCTAGGCTCATGACTAATTGTTTTTCCCAATGTACCAGGATCATGATCACTTCCCTCTCTGTAAAATGGGTGCATTAGATGATTTCTAAGGCACTTTTCACTTTTAACATTCTCTCAGTCCTAGAATCAGGAGCATGTCAGGCAACAGTGTGGTGCCTCCTATAAGAGGCCCAAATGCCCAGTGGGGTAAGGAGAGAGAACTTACCTAAGCTAATAACTGAGGAGCAAGAATTGATCTATCCTCATTTCCTGTTTCACTCAGATCATTGTGTTGGGGAGAATAGCAGGAAAGGGGAAACATGAAGAAGGCAGGTAGAGGACAGAGTTGTGTTTTTGGGATGGTTCTATCTCTGCCTCTCACTGGATTCGTTCTCTCCACCTTGAGGCCTATGGTCAGTCGTTGCTCTTCCTTTCTCCCCCTTTTCTCCTTTCTCCCTCCTCCCTTTTATGTACCCTTCTTCCTTCTGCCAACTGAGGACAGTCTCTGTTAGGCAGAAGGCTACCAGGGTTAGGCATTGGCCCCCATGGTCCCTGCCCTATGTACTTATCCACTCACCACTGACATCTTTATAGTAGGCCATGATTTCTTCCAGGTTCTCTGCTGCAAAATCTCCTCTTTGTTTTTGAAGCTGACTCTCCTGGTTCCAGTCTTCCACATTTTCCCATCCTGGTTCAGGCACTGCCTTCTGGCTATTGCTATCATATTGGTAGACGAGTCTTCCATTGAAGTAGGCCTTGTTTGTGAATAAAGGTGTGGGTTTTGACCGAACTACATCTTTGTATACCAGAGAATCACACTCTAAGAAAAGCCATAGAAAATTTGGTGAGACATTTTAATGCTAATCTCCCAAATAGAGTCACTTGTTGGGGGTGACAGATAAGGGGGTTAGAAATGGGGTACTGACATGTGAACTTTGGCTACCAGGACCAATAACTCCCCATTGAGAATACTTTCTCCTGGTTCTCCCCTCTTCTATCTGTCTCTCAGCCAGCAGCTTTGACCCCAAATGATCCCAATCCCAAGTTATTCTTCCTATGATGCATTTGGAGTATGCCACAGATCTCTGTCTACCTACTTGTAATGAATGAATGAACTCGTGAATAAAAATGCTTTTAGTAAATACTTAATATTTACCAAGTGCTATACTAAGTTCTGAGGATAGAAACAGGGAAAGAAGTTAGTCCCAAATCTCAGGGATCTCTTCCCCTCATTGGGAGCAATACACAATAAATGGGATTGTTCAAAGGAGGATGTCCAAGATGACAGGAAAACTCAATATTTTGTCATATACAGATCAGGGATGTTTAACCTAGAAAAAAGAAAGAATGGATGTGTGCTTTGGTTTGAGTGCCTATGATAACTGTCTCAAGAATATGAAAGGCCATCAGAAAGGAGAAGGACCATATTTGTTCAGTGTCACTCTGGAGGACTTAGTTTTGAAGGAAGATCAGTGGGTTGAAGACAGCTTTCTTTTTTTTTTTAATTTTAATTTTTTTTATTTTTGTTTTCAACATTTACTTCCACAAGATTTTGAGTTCCAAATTTTCACCCCATCTAGCCCCTCCCCCACCCCAAGTCAGCATGCATTCAGAATACCCCTTCCCCTAGTCTACTATCCCTGCTATCTCTCTCTCCCTTCCCCTTCTATTTTCCTGTAGGGCAGGATAGATTTCTGTACTCCATTTCCTGTATTTCTTATTTCCCAGTTGCATGTGAAAACATTTTTTTTAAATGTGTTTTTTTAAACTTTGGGTTCCAAATTTTCTCCCTTCCTCCCTCCCCACCCACCCTCATTGAAAAGGCAAGCAACTCATTATAGGCCATACTTGTGCAGTTATGCAAAACACTTCCATAGTAGACATGCTGTGAAAAACTAACTCTATTTCCCTTAATCCTATCCCACCCACCCATTTATTCTATTCTTTCTTTTGACCCTGTCCCTCCTCAGAGGTATTTGCTTCTGATTTCCCCCTTTCCCAATCTGCCTCCTCTCTATCATCCCCCTACTCTCTTGTCCCCTTTCCCTCCTATTTTCCTGTGGGGTAAGACAGATTTCCAGACCCAATTGAGTGTGTATGTTATACCCTCCTTAAGTCAAATCCTATGAGAATAAGATGCATTCATTTCCTGTCACCTTCCCCTGGTTCCCCTCCACTGTAAGAGCCTTTTCAGTTTTTTTGTGAGATAATCTACCCCATTCTACCTTTCCCTTTCTCCTTTTCCTAGTATAATCCTCTCTCACCCCATAATTTTATTCTCCAGATATGACCCCTTCATCTTCAACTCACCCTGTGCCCTCTATCTATCTATCTATTTATCTATCTATCTATATATACATACATATAATTTTTCCCTCCAACTACCCTAATACTAACAAAGGTCTCATGAGTTACAAATATCATCTTTCCATGCAGGAATGTGAACAGTTCAACCTTAATAAGTCTCTTATGATTTCTCTTTCCTGTTTAACTCTTCATTTCCAACTTGAGTCTTGTATTGGAAAGTCAAATTTTCTATTCAGCTCTGGTCTTTTCATCAAGAATGCTTGAAAGTCCTCTATTTCACTGAATGACCATTTTTTCCCCTGAAGAATTATACTCAGTTTTGCTGGGTATGTGATTCTTGGTTGTAATCCTATCTCCTTTGCCCTCCAGAATATTATATTCCATACCCTGTGGTCCCTTAATGTAGAAGCAGCTGAATCTTGTGTTATCCTGATTGTGTTTCCACAATACTTGAATTGTTTCTTGCTTGTAATATTTTCTCCTTGACCTGGGAACTCTAGAATTTGACTATAATATTCCTAGGAGTTTTCCTTTGGGGATCTCTTTCAGGAGAAGATTGGTGGATTCTTTCAATTTCTGTTTTGCCCTCTGGTTCTAAAATATCAGGACAGTTTTGCTTGATCATTTCTTGAAAGATGATTCTAGGCTCTTTTTTTGATCATGGCTTTCAGATAGTCCAATAATTTTTAAATTCTCTCTCCTGGATCTATTTTCCAGGTCAGTTGTTTTTCCAATGAGATATTTCACATTGTTTTCTAATTTTTCATTCTTTTGGATTTGTTTTACAGTATCTTGATTTCTCATAAAGTCACTAGCTTCCAATTGCTCTATTCTAATTTTTAAGGAAGTATTTTTTCAGTAATCTTTTGGACTTCCTTTTCCATTTGTCCAATTTTGCTCTTTAAGGCATTCTTTTCTTCATTGACTTTTTGGACCTCTTTTGCCATTTGGGTTAGACTATTTTTTAAGGTATCATTTTCTTCAGTAATTTTTTGGGTCTCCTTTAGCAAGCTGTTGACTTGCTTTTCATGATTTTCTTGCATCACTCTCATTTCTCCTCCCAGTTTTTCCTCTACTTCTCTTACTTGCTTCTCAAAATCCCTTCTGAGCTCTTCCAATGCCTAGGACTGATTCATATTTTTCTTGGAAGTTTTGGATGTAGGAGCTTTGACTTTGTTTTCTTCTTCTGGTTGTATGTTTTGATCTTCTTTGTCACCAAAGTAAGATAATATAGTCTGACTCTTTTTGTGCTGCTTGCTCATGATCCCAACCAATTACTTGAGTTTTAAACTCTTCGTTAAGGTAAGAGTCTGTTTCCAATGTGGAGAATGTACTGTCCCAAGCTTTGGGGGTTTGTACAGCTGTTTTCAGAGATACTTCTAGGGACCTGAGAAGTGTCAGTTCTTCCAAGGTGCTATGATAAGGGGCGAGGTGTTTCCTCTCCACTGCCACAACCACCTCCACCATGCCAGCACTCCTCCTCACCCCAGGACCACCCCTCAGAACTGTGACCCAGATCCAAGCACCGGTAAAGCAAGAGATTCCTGCCTCAGCCCTGGCAAAGAGATCCTTGCAATCCCCCTCTGATCAGCCACTTGATTCCCCCTTAGTCTGTGGGCCAGAAGCTCAGAAGCCAGCCGCTGCCCTCAGGGCGGCTGAGATCTAGCTTCTTCTCTCACTGCAGTAACAGACCTTTCCCACTGACCTTCTAAGTTGTCTTTGGCGTTCGTGGGTTGAGAAGTCTGGAAACCACCACAGCTGCCCGCAATTCAGTCCTCTGAGTCCTGCTCCAGGGTCGCTGTGGCCTGTGCACCCACGCCAAACTGCGCTCCTCTCCCAGCCCAGCACGATATACCTTTCTGATCAGCCATCCAGGTTGTCTTGGGCTGGAAATTTATTTTACTCTGTTTTTTTGTGGGTTCTGCTGCTTTAGAATTTGTTTAGAGCCATTTTTTGTAGGTATTTGGAGGGGTTTCGGGGAGAGCTCTAGCAAGTCACTGCTTTCCCTCTGCCATCTTGGCTCCGCCCCCCTGAAGACAGCTTTCAACTGTTTAAAGAGGAACATGCTACATCTTTGATTTATCGTAAAATGCTCTCCAAAGTAGTTAGCTCCTAAAGTATTCAAGCAGAGATTGGATTCCATTGTATGGCATGTGGTAGAAGGTATTCTGTGTTGACTGGCATGTTTCATTAGATTCTCTCTGAAGCCCCTCATTCTTCTCAAGAAGAATCTGGTACTCAATGAACCCCATATCCCTAGGTGCCCTGGCCCAGTTCCCAGCCCCATAGCCCCGTTATGTTTCTTTCCTGTTGTTGGTCTAAGGGGCTAGGCTGCCTCTGCTCCCATTGGAGGAGCAGCCTCCATCTCCATCTTGAAGGAAGGAGACTTGAAGAAAGAAAAGAAAAGCAGGGGGCACTGTGAGAAAAGAGCCAGTTAACCTCTCAAGGCTTCAGCTTTCTCACCTGTAAAACTGTAAATGGTAACATTGGGATAACTTACTACCCAGGGTTTTGAGGACAGTATGCTATGACACAAATACTTCTGGGTTTAGAGAAACTGGGTTTGAATCCTGGCTTTGCTAATCAATACCTGTATAACCTTGGGCAAATCATTTTAATGCTCAAAACTACAATTTCTCCCTCTGTGAAGCAAGGTTTGATTTGTGCTACTCTTTTAGGCTGCTATAAACAAGCTTCTTGCAAACTCTAAAAAATTATACAGTAGACTTATAAAGTATGATTAATATACAAAGATAAGAACAAAGAAATGACTTTCCTGGGTCTGAGTGTCCTCTTACTCTGATTCTGTCTCTGACAGGGTTACCAAGGGACAAGGAGCATGGGCTTTTCCCTCCCCTCCATGATTTCCACCTCAGATGGTTCATCATTTACTTCCTAAGCTCCAAGTTCTCTACATCATCTGCTCTTGCACATACCTGAGCTTCAGGGCAGAGCTTGATAGACATGGGAATAGGAGCTCTAGACCTCCCTCCCCCAAACTCCCACCCTCCTCCATCATGTCTTTGTAGTTTCTGAGAGATGACACACTGAATGCTGGAACCTCTGGGTGATTCCTGGCATAAAATCGTAGGCTCTGCCCTCCTTTCCTCTTTCCCAACTCTGCTCCTTCCCCACTAATATAACTTATGGCCAGAGCCACATCACACAGACAGTGCCTTCTGCATAGCCTCTGAGGAGATGCAGTAATCTCTGAAGGTGCGCCAGGCTCACCGGGTCATTCTTGTTCTGCCTCAACAGCAAGTTTTCCTGATCTTTAGCATCAATACTTTTTCTAGATCTCTGTTCCCATCTCCACTTCCTTCCATAAGTTTAAAAGGTTGATAGAGAACCTAGAGATAGGAAGGCAATTCCTCAGGAAAAATGAAGCTTGTGCACCTATTGACTCTGTGTGCATGAGTGTGTGTGTGTGAGTGTGTGAGTGTGAGTGAGTGTGTGTGTATGTGAGTGTGTGAGTGTGTGTGTGTGTGTGTGTGTGTGTAGCATTTCCCCTTTCCTCCTGGGTGATGGAGGAGCGGTGACCTCTGGGCCTAATAGATGCTGATCTATAATCTAGTATTTTGGGAGTACCATGGTAACTGTTCAGAATCCTGCCACTTCTTTTGTCATTTCAATTCCGTCTCTCCTTGCTCTATAGATTTCCCTTCTCTTTGTCTCTTTGCCTAATTTTTCTCCCAGCACAGTGAGTTTATCTACACAAAACCAGTTCAGGACTGGCAACCAAGGCACGTGTTGAGGGGAGAGTCCCATTCTGCCTCTGAGATTGCTCTCCTTATAAGTTCATAGATTGAGAACTAGAAAGTATCTTAGAGGCCATCTATTCCAAGCTCCTTACCCTGCTCCCATTTTCCCAAACTGGCCTATAGAGTTTAAATCACTTACCCAAGGTTCCACAGCTAATAAGGTAGAAAAAGATTCTTTGACTCTAAATCTAATCATTTCCTCTCTACTCTTTGATTTCACCACACCTCTCACTCCCAAACCAGACATCTCTTTCCCATTTGCTCTACTCACGTTTTCCTGGTTTAGGGGCACTTTGAGGCTTCTGTCCAAGAACTGTGGTCCCTGAAAACAACAGCAGGAAGAAGGCAGTGATCAGGGGCCCCATCATTCCAAATTCAGAGGTGTATTTCAGTTCAGAAATCTGGTCTGATTCAGCTGAGATATGATGGATGTTGTGATAGCTCACTTTTCTGCTGTATTATATACTGTTGAACCCTCCTCAGGAAATGGCAGTCCAATAGCCAATGAGAGTTTCAAGGTAGAATCCACCCCCTGAATACCAGAAACAAAACAAACAGAACCTGAAATTCCAGAAATAGCACCAACAGGATGTGTCCCAAGAGGAGTTCTTAGTGGACAGCAAGCTCAGGGTGAGCCAATAAAGCTGGTTGCATTAACCAAAGCAAACCTAATGTAACATTGTGCTTCATGAACATCACTATGGGGTTTAGAGGAAGGAGCTTAGGGTGTGATCATTCTTGTGCATTCTTCCCTATTCTAGCCACATGTGGAATACTTTGTGGAGTTCTAAAGACACATTTTAGGAGGGCAGTGGCAAACTGGAATGCTTCTAGATGAGGGGCACCAGGAAGGTGAGCAGATTAGAAACCAGAAAGATCAATTGAAGGAACAGGAAATATTTTCTCTGAAGGTTATGTTCATGTAGGATACACTGACTGTCTTCAAATATCTAAAGTGTTTTCACACAGAATAGAGAATAGGCTTGTTTCCTGGGGCTACAGAGGGCAGAAGTAGGACCAGAGGACTCAGACATGATGGGGAGCACATGTCAGATGGAACTTCCTACCAAAGAGGGAAGTTCTGCAGAAATTGAATGAACTGCTTCAATGACAATGAGCTCTCTATTAAAGGCCTTCCAAGAAGGGGCTGCAAAGTGAATTCAAGATTTGAGATAGACTAGAATACCTCTGAGGTTTCCTGTATCTCTTAGAATCTATGACTCTGGGGGCAGAGCATCCAAACACACTTGCTATAGTGTTTTGGGGAAGTGCCTGGGGTAACCACAGCTAGGTCCGGGTGCTGGTTGGAAAATGACTAGTCTTCAAAGTTAATCCCAGGTTTAAACTGGGAGTTTATCAGTGGTCCATGTGTCCCAACCTAAGATGACAAGAAAGCAAGTGTTAAGTTATCTTGGGGTAGGGATGAGTTCATAATAGCAATTTGTATTTTGAGTGTTTTTGGTAAGTGTAGGTGTGAGGAATGGGGAGCAGCAGTGGCCAGAACCCTTTAATTTCTCTTGGTCATCAACATGCTGACTTTCCCAAGGGAGCTAAATTAATTGACCCCTTCCTGTTTGGGAGATCTTGAAATCAATTCTTTGTGGCCTTTGTGGATGGATAAAAATTGAGGGTTCTGATTATAACTGACTAAATTTTAACTCCCCAATGAAAACTCCTATTCATTCAAAGTCCTAAAACTTTTCCTTTTGATGAACTGGCTAAACAAAGGTACCCCAAATAGAAATAGGCTAAACCACATGGTTCCCTATTTGGACAGCTAGGGAGGTGATTCCTGGTGCCTTGCTTGGATGCCACAAGGCATTAAAACTCAAATTCAGCTGGTCCAGTTATAAGGGACTAACTCTCAATCCCCTCACATGACCACTTTCATGATATTGATAACAACACAAGAAACTGTCATTCTTATTCCCCCCCATGAACCAAATCCTATGAGAGTAAGGATCAAACAATGTTCATCTCCCTCCCTTCTTTCCCTCTATTGTAATGTTTTTGTACCTCTTCATGTGATAAAATTTACCCTTTTCTGCCTCCTCCTTTCCTTTTCTCCCATTACAATCCCTTTTCACCCCTTAATTAGGCTTTTTAATCAACATATCAGAGTCAATTTATACCCACACCCTCTGTCTATATATGTCCCTTCTAAATGTTATAATAAAGATACAGTTTTCAAGAGCTGAATCCGTCATTCTTAACTAAGGAGTATTAGCTTTACCTTGAAGAGGCAAACAGTGACTTCAAGAAGTTGGAATGTTATTTTAAGTTTAAGAGGCTTCCTTGTTCTGACAGCCTAGCCTTGGCACAGGCTGTAAGTGATTAAGAAGAGTTAAGGTAGTTAGATGGTACAGTGGAAAGAGTAGTGAGCTGGGAACCAGGAAGACTTATCTTCAATGTTCAAATCTGATCTTAGACTCTTACTCTGTGTTACCCTGGGCAAGTCACTTATCCCTGTCTGCCTCAGTTTCCTCGTCTGTAAAATGAGCTGGAGAAGGACATGGTGAATCACTCCAGTGTTTTTGCTTAAAAAAAACAACAAAAAAAAAACCCAGTAGAATCGTGAGGAGTTGGACACAACTGAACAATAACAAAAGTCTGGCAATAATATGGTGAGCCCCCTAAAGGTGACATGGTGTGGACATCAGCCAGACTAAGGAGGGATTAATGGTTCTGGCCTGGAAACAGAACAAGGTAAAGCTTCCATCCCAGTCAGCAGTTTGTTCAGCCTACAAGTGGCTTCTACACTTCCATCAAGAGGGGGTACTGCTTCTCAAAAAACAAACAAATACAAATATATTTGATTCAAAGGACAAAACATCAGGCCTCAAGGCCTAAAAACTTTCTTGGTGAAAATTGACTGATTAACCCCCAGCACCCCAAGGTAGAAAGAAGCTAAACTAATTGCCTTCTCCCTTTTTGGAAGATTTAGAAATCAATTCTTTGTGGCCTGTATGGTTGCATCCCTGGGAGCTAACACCAGAATTCCATTGTTCTGGTCATAAAGGCCTATGTTCCTCTTTATCCCATGAAAACTCTCAGGTTCTCACACGAGTCCAAGGTCCTAAAAAATCTTCCTATGAATTAATTTGCTGGCTGACTAAAAGTTTCCAATTTGGAAAAAGCCTAAACCACTTGGTTGTCTATTTGGAGGATTGGAAAATCAATTTGTGATACTTTGCTTGGGTGCCCCAGTAGGGTAAATGTCAAATTCAGATGCTCCTACACATTCTCACAAGATGATTTTGTACACACACACACACACACACACACACAGACTCACACATACACACACACATTCCCACACACGAGTCAGTGACATGTAGGGGATAGACTTATAGTCAGAAAATCTAGATCTGAATTGCTTGTATTTCATAATATTCACGTACCATAATTTTATTAGCAATTTAATAGGCATCTGCCTTGTTTACAGATCTTTGCTGCAATGTGAAGTATTGCTTTGAATATTTCTGTGTTTATGAGACCCTTATTTCTATCTTTGACCTTCTTGGGGAGCTTCATGGGTTCAATGGGATGGTCCATTCTATTCTATTTGATCCATAAATTGCTAACCAGGCCTGGGACAAGCACCCATGGCAATTCCCCTAATATCCTGACAAGCATCGTGCTCTGATTCAGAACTCGTAAGGCAAGGGCTAAGGGTATCAACCCCATGCCTATGCAGTGGGGAACTCCTTCCCCTTTTTAGATCCATGAATGCTAACCTAGGCTCGGACTAGGGCCTTTGGCAGCCACACCTTTAAGAGCAAGATGTGCTGCCTTACCAAAGAGACAAGGGCCAGGGCCTGAACTGAGTATTTTAACAATGGGAAACACTTCCTCCTTGTATCCAAGGCAAGGCCAGTGCCCTCTATGTAATGCAAATGGATTGAAAAAAGGTTCATACCTAAAAGCATGACTGTATATACTCTTTATATATCCACATATACATATACTATATAGGGTACAGGATGAGATATACATATACATACATATATATACACATACATGTGTGTATATGTGTATATATATGTATAGATAGATATAGATAGATAGATAAACAGATAGATAAATTCTGTACCCTAAATTCATCACCACTGTGTTATGGATAGTATCTTTAATTATCAGTCCTCTGGAATGATAATGATGATTATATTAATTAGAGTTCTTAGAGCTTTCAACATTGTTTGTTTTTACAGTTTGTCATCATTTTGTAAACTGTTCTCCTGGTTCTGCTCATTTCATTCTTCATGTATTTAAAAAAATCCTCAAAATTTTTCATTTCAGTTATGTACTAATTGTTCTTTTGGTTCTGCTTACTTCACTCTATGTCAGTTCATAGAAATCGTTCCATATCTTTTTAAAATATCTATTTCTTCATTTCTTAGAGGACAATAGAACTTCATCAGATGTACATACCACAATTTATTTAGCCATTCTTCAATTAAGGGATCTCTTCGTAGTTTCCAGTTTTTGGCCACTACAAAAAAGAGCTGATATATGTGTATACATATATACACACACACATATGTGTGTATATGTATGTTTACATGTGTATGTATACATATACATGCACATATGTATCAATAACATAGTATTTTATATTGTGTTACATTTACATATATGTATGTGTATATGCATGTATACACATGCGTGTGTATTTTTTTAATAAATTTTTTAAAATTTATTATTTATTTTTAACATTCTTTTCTTTTTAAATTGAGTTCCAAATTCTTTTACTCCCTCCCAGGCCTCCCCTACCCATTCAGAAGACAAGCAAAATGATATCAGTTATACATGTGAAATCATGCAAAAAAGGAAAGAGAATGAGAAAATTATACTTCAGTTTCCGCATTCATAATCTGGAGGTGGATAACCTTTTTGAAATTGCCTAGGATCATTGTACTGATCAGAGTAACCAAGTAATTATCATGTAATCATCACAACCTTGCTGTTACTGTGCACAATAATCTCCCAGTTCTTCTCACCTCACTTTGCATCAGTTCATATAGATCTTGTCATGTTTTTACTTAAGCCCCCCCATCTCCTCATTTCTTATAGAACAATGGTACTTGTCACAATCGCATGCCGCAATTTGTTCAGCCATTCCCCAACTGGTGAGCATCCTCTCAATTTCCAGTTCTCTGCCACCACCAAAAGAGCTGCCAGAAGTATTTTTGTACATATAGCTCCTTTTTCTTTGCTCTTTGCTATGGTATAGACCTACCAATGGTATTTCTGGGTTTCATAGCCCTTTTGCCATAGTTCCAAATTTTTCTTCAGAATGGATGGACCAGTTCACAACTCTACCAGCACTCCATTAGTGTGCCTATTTTCCCTAATCTTCTCCAACATTTGTCATTTCTGATAGATGTGAGGTCTTATCTCAGAGTTGCTTCAATTTGTGTTTTTCTGATTAATAGTGATGTAAGGCA